TCTCTCTTACAGCCTTGAATATTTTTCCTCCAGTCTCTGCACTTGTTGTTTTAGTGATAATAAGTCGTGGGGTAGTTCTGTTTTGGTCTGGTCTGCTCAGTGTTCTGGAGGCCTCCTGTACCTGAATGGGCATAGTTTTCTCTAGATTTGGGAAGTTTTCTGTTATTATTTTGTTGAATATATTATGCATTCATTTTGCTTGCACCTCTTCTCCTTCTTCAATGCCCATGATTATCCAGTTTGGTCTTTTGATGGAGTCAGTGAGTTCTTGCATTTTCTTTTCCCTGGTCTTGGGTTGTTTAACTAATAGTTCTTCAGTTTTTCCTTTAATCACCATTTCATCTTCAAGTTCTGAGATTCTGTCTTCTGTTTATTCTATTCTGCTGGAATGGCCTTCCATTTTGTTTTGTATTTCTGTTTCATTCTTTTTTCTGAGGTTTTCCATATTGTGGGTTACTTCCTCTTTAATATTGTCAATTTTTGCCCTTAATTCGTTTATCTCTCTGTTTATAGTGATCTCTGTTTCAGTTTGGTATTTATTTAGGTTTCCTATGATTTCAATTATTTGTTTCTGTGTTTTCTCATATTCTTTAATTTTGTTGTCTTGGAATTTCTTGAGTGCCTCCTGTGCATTTTGTTTGACCATGTCTAGTAACATCTATATGAAATTCTCATTGATTACTTGTAGGATTTCTTCAGGGTGTTCTTGTGGGTTTTGTTGGGTTCCTTGGTCTAGTTTATCTTTGTTTTGTTGGAGTCTGGATCTAGGTATCCGTTGTCTTCATTTTGCTTTAAATCCTGTACTACTTTATTTTTGGGGGCAAAATCATTTCCCTCCCTTTTTCTTTTTCCCATATTTCCACTATGTAATATGTTTCTATTCCTGGACTATGTGTAATTTAGTATTAGCTGGGTAACAATATTAATACTAACAAAACCAAGAGAGAAGGATAAAAAAGAGAAAGAGATGGAATGATAAAAGGAATAGAGAAGAGAGGAAAAGAGAAAAAAAATGGAGAGATGGTGGGTGGTCAAACAGCAAACCAGGCAGCAAATCCCTTAAAGATGGGGAAAAAAAAAAAAAAGAAAGAAAACAATCACCAGTTCTGGAACAGTAGAATTGCAGTCTTAGTTGTTCTGATGTTACTCCTTTAGCATCCAGACCTGTCTGTGTTTGTCTCTTATGCAGGTTTGGAGCCCTCCTCTGGCAGGTGGCAGGTGGGTGGGGTTCCACGGGCCTACAGGCTGAGGCCTTTCATTGAGGTGAACTAGTGGGCCTTTGGAGCATGGTCCTGGGGTGCCTGAAGGTCAAGGGCCAGTGGACTGGAGAACCTGTGTGTCCGTTGATTGCTAGCTTGTCAGGCTTTGGGGGCATGGTCCGGGTGGAGATTGGGCAGGCCTGTACAGGTGTGAGGGGCACAGCCCAGTGGAGATAATGGAGGCCTGTGCAAGCCTGAGGGACTGGCCTGGCAGACTCGTGAATGTCTATGGATCACAGGCTTGGCAGGCCTTAAGGGCTTGTCTGGTGAAGATTGTGTGTGTCTGAGGGATGGGAATTTGGGGTAGCATGGCCCTGGTGGGGCTGAGGAGCAGGGCCAGGGGATTGGAGATTCCACTGCATGCAGAGCAGTGGCTCCACGGGCCTGTGAAGTGGGGCTTAGCGTGCAGTGCCGGCTATTCTTTTAGTATATCATGGCGTGGAGAAGCCTTCCATGAGCTAGGGGTCCAGAGTGCTGATGTTTCTGCTCTCCCTAGTACTTTACCTCAGCCATGCATGTCTCCAGCCTGTCAGCAAAGTCCCTGGATCACAGAGCTCAGGAGGTCTGTGGCTGTGTACTGGTCACCACCATCTTGGGTCCCTCTGTGTATTCATTTCAATGTGTTGAGATCAAAAACGTAGAGAGGCCAGGGAAGGTCACTGAGAAGATGTCTTTAGTGCAATGACTTGAAGGTCATAAGGAGAATGTCACAACAGAGAAAGTTGCAGAGAAAGGTGGGAAAGGAAATGCCTTAGGGCAAGAATGTGCAGAGCTTGCACTAAAAGCAGTTAGAAGGCCAGTGTGGCCTCTGTGCATAACAAAGAGAGTTACAAGGGACTGAATCCAAGGAAGACTACCGGATAAGGTAGGTTACAGATGTGTCCTGTGCACCTCAGGAAACAGAGGTGTAACTTTCACTCTGCTGACATCAAAAAAGCAGGAGAATGGGCTGCAAAGCTATGTATTCTGTTTACTTTTTTTCTCCTTATCATTGTTACATTTACTTACAAGTGTATACATTGTTTGTGCCACCCCCCCCAAGTTTTCTCAAATTCAAGTATGATATATTTGATACACTAGAAGAACCTTTGTAAATGCTGCAATGGACCCTCACCCAGCACAATTAGCAAACAAACAAACAAACAAAAAATCATGTTTTCTCCTGCAGCTGGATCTAGAATAAATTGAAAGGAGCATGAATAGGGGTAGGGAAGGGCCTCCCAAAAGTCAACTTGCAAAGTAGGGGTTTCCATGCCTTTGAAAAAAAATTATCACCTCCTTTGTTATATACTTTTCTCTAAATGATTAAGGACAAATTCCTACCTTGTGTGTGCATGTGAATGTGTGAGTTTAAGTATGTATATGCATATGTGAGTGTAAACCAGAGCTCCCTTAACTGGTGAATCCTAAGTGATTCTCTCATGTCTTGTCAGGTGGTGATAACAGAGAAGCTACAAGAATGTTACATTGTATGATAATTCAAGGAAGTACATTCACTATCACAATGATATTCAAAGAGGAGTCTGAGTTTAAGTATAATTAGCCTTTAAAAACCAAATCAAAGAAAATTAAAGGGTTTTCACAAAACATACTATTGGAAGACACCATGCATAAAACTGATGGTGGGTGAGTTGAGAGCTTATATCACCAAGTCCTCCCATGAATAAAATGGCCTCCTTCTTCTCAAGGGTATTTTCAGATACGGTGACTTCAACAAAACTCTCTGATGGGAAATAAACAATTTTAACTATTGGATTTAATATCCAGTTCACATCCATTTTTCTTTTATTCTCATTATGTTAGCCAACTGGCTGCTCAGTGGCTATGTGGATTACAAAAAGTGACTAGGGCATCCGTTCCTTTTATATGGCCCTAGTGTCTATCCCTTAAGCTCCTATTCCCAAGCTATTAATTATGATCTCAATTCTTTCATGTCTTATATCTCCTCCTAAGATGTCCACATGTTCAGATGTGATGCCAATTTTTCTTAAACTCATTCAGGGCATCATGGAAGAATCACTTGAGAGTGGTTTTTATTGTTAGGAAGAATTCTCATTACCTATCCCTTAGACAATTCTCCTTTTAGGAAAATGGGAAGATTTCATCACCCAGTGCTCTCCTCCCTCCTTTGGCCTCATGAAGCATGGCTGTGTGTTAATCTAGTCACCATTTTTAGCTATGTCAAAGTTTTAGTGCTTCTTAGAAGGTTCTTTACTCTGGACCCAGAACTGTTTTTCTGGATGAAAGTAAAATAGTTCACTGACATTGTTTTATTACATATGATCTTTAATTTAAAGTGGTCATTTATAGATATCTGCAGATGCTTTGTAGCACAAATTTCAGGGTTTATGGGATAGCCCTTTTTAAGACCCATGAAACAGAGAAATGAAAAATGTAAGTGTTATGCCTGAGGCCAGTCAAAGATAAGCTGAATCTGACTTTGAGTTAACTTAGTAGATACTCAGATAAGTGATTTACGAGAAGTGTGCTAGGTTATTTGGTTGGGTGGCTACTGGATTTTGCTTTTATGGTTTACCTACTTCCTCAAACTGCCTTTTTTCTCCATCTTGTCCCCTCTAATTTTCTTCATGGATTCATGTTCAACGTGCTTTTCAAGTATTTTAAGTCTAAGGATCCCCCTTCCTTGCCTAATCCAAAGTTCTTATTTCATCAGGTGATTATTTTAGAGCAATTTTTTCAGATTTAGGGTGATAAGTATGCACTTTTTAGATCACCAATTTGTTTATGTACAGAACTTAGACAAGTTACTCAAAAACATTCCCTACATTATTTTATAAAGATGATGGTGGAAGGAGAAGGAAGAGAGGAAAACTGAGGAAAGATGTGTATGTGAGAGGGAAAAAGAGGGGGTGGTGGTGGTGGAGATCTTGTGCTGTATATTCATGTTCAACTTGCTCATCTGTGTCTGAAGAGTTTTTTCAATTTGGTGGAAAATATGTTGAGGTGGGAATCCAAAGACCTGTATTCTTACTAGTTCTGCTGCTGATACTTCGTGTGAAAGCTTGGGCAAACCATATCACCTATTAGTCTCAGTTTCTACATGTGAATCCTAATCTTCATCTTTATTCAGAATTGCATAACGTCATGATGCTCAGATAGCATAATATACAAAATTGAGTAGCTTATGAAGTTTCCATAGTGGCCAACAATTATAAAGTGCGATCATTAGTATTCTCCTTTGCATGTGTTTCTACCCAATTTAGACACCATTCCAATGACTATTTTTTAATTTAAGGGAGAGAGCAGTATTTTCAGCCTCTTCATAAGCACTTCAAGTAATTATCCTGCCATCAATCCATCATCTCAAACTCTACTGTCTTAGGCTTCCAATAAGACACATAACTTTTATGTAAAATTCTTGTAGATGTGTGGGCCTGAATCATTCTTTATTTCCACCTTTTATTTATGAAAGAGACTTCCTGGTCTCAGTGCATGTCTGATAAAAAAGTAACTACTCTGCTGGTGTAACTTTTGGCCATGCACATACTCAAAAGTAAAAAATGGGATTCATAGCGGTGGACTTGGGCAGCTGACAGATACTACCATGCATATCTTATACTGAGCCACATCTTGGAGACTATCTATGCACTAATAACGTTAATAACAATATATATGCAATGTCTCATTTCAGTCAGGTATACACTCTATGTAAAGGATATCCATTTTGGCCCAGATTCCATAATAAATGGAGGCTATATAAATAAAATAGTAAGAACTTACTATATTGACAGTTTCTTCCCATAAATTCTCCTGGGCATTCACAGGAATAGTTAGCAACAAGGTCTGTACATATTCCACCATTTTTGCAAGGCTCACCTTCACATTCATTTATGTCTGAGAAAAACAGAACAGAGGGAGAGAATTATAAGTTAAAAATCATTAGATATTAAGAGGTTTGAATCATTTTAAATGAAAAATTCTGAATACTGTTATTCCTTTGAGTGTGTGTATACACATGTCGATAATATGAATGTTGCTTAAAACAACAGTTCGTTAAAAATCAAATTAAATCAATTTGAATTGAGAATACAGATGAAAGATCCAAAAGAACCAAACCATTCTCCAATTCTGAAAAGAAATGAGTAGTTTAGGGAAATATTCAGTGTATCCTTAAAATTAAATCAAACAGACTTACCCAGATAGAGACATGAATTTGTTTCACTTATAAGATCTAGAAACTACCCTGCAGCAACAACTGCCAATTAAACACTGTCTCATTTCATCTTAATTCATTAAAATTCTAACTGACAGAGATGTTTTAGTTTCTAAATAGATCGCTTTTGATGAATATGATGAGAAGCAAATTAGAGTTAATAGCTAAAGCTCGTTACATGCAAAGTATAATAAATGTAAATGATGATCACTTCTTAATCTCATTCAAGAGTTTCTAAAGTTAGGATGACTAAAGGGACTTACCTTTGATATTATTATACATGATGTAAAAGCATATGAAATGTAAAACATTCAGCAAATTGTACTAATTTCCATGCTAATTTTGGACAACACAGAAAATAAGTACTGCTTGAACACAAAAAAAATAACTAATTCAGTAAATATAAATCACCGATATTTACCAACTGTTCCCTCTAAGCACAGACCCATGCTGGTTCTGCAGAGGTAGTAAAGAAGTTGGAAAACACACTCCTCCCCAATCTCTTTCTCCTCTGGTTATCTACCCCAAAGTCCCTATCTTTTCTGAATCTCACAATGGTGTTTGCTATTGTCCTGTCTTTAAGATCTCAATGGTATTGCTGGGAAATCATCCACTTGGACACCTTTCACACTTCCATCTAGTAGGTACTAAGTTTCACACATTTAGGACCTATTCTGCCCTGTTTTTTGTACTCCTGAAATACTGCACTCTACCTGGAAACACACTGGTCCCTAATAAGTGTTTCTGATAAACAATTAACAAAAGAAGAGAAATAGGAAGGTGAATACCCTAAAAACAAATATTTCTGATCTGATTTTAATGTGTTTTCTGATATACTATATCAAAAAGCATTTCTGAAATCCTGTATTACTACAGTTGCTTAAAGCAATATGGCCACTAAATTATCTTGTCAACACCAGACAAGGAAAAAATTACCAGGAATTCCTCTATTTGCCCTTTCTTTCAACTTCTTTCTTCTATGCACTCTCCCCTCCTAAAAAAGAGACTCAAACCCCTTTCATTCAAAGTTCACTACAGAAACTCTGATCTAAATTTCTTTAGGCAGATAACGGCTTTCTCTGAAGGCATTGATTTTTTGTTTCTGTTTTTGACTGTCCTAGCTTGAGGATAAAGAAAAAAATCTGAATAATTTAAGTATTTTATAATGTCAAACAGTGGAATAAATGCAGGGTCTGATAATTCCTGAAAGTAACTATATGCTGTATTATGAGAAACCCCTCAATATTTGAAACTAGAATTCTCCAGGTAGGGGAAGAAGGATGGGGAGAGAGGGAGGGGTTGGAAGAGAGGAAGAGAGGAAAAAGAAAGAGAAGAGGAGGAGGAGAGGGAGGGGAAACAAGAGGGGAGGAGGAGAAAAGGAGAGGGTGAGTGGATGAGAAGGAAAAAGACAGGTGTAAGTTATTTCTTTTAAAATCTGATAAAACATTTAGTTCTTTGGTCCTATCAAATTTAACTTAACCTTAATGGCATGAAAATGATTGCACTATTAATTTTGTCGCCACTCAATTTAAGACAGTTGCATGGTGGCATGGTTTGGACACTTTCAGATGTGCCTAATATGTCTAAAACAACACTTAACACCTTTACCCAGTGGTTACCATGAGATGGATTGAACTGGAATCCTATTTGCTGAGGTGGAAATGCTTTACAGACATTCTCCATCTGTGCTAATGATTTTTTCATTGTTTTAATATATGCTTTTTAATAACTTGACACTCAAAATCTATTTAAGTCTAAATTTGTAAAAATGTGTTATTTTTAGATGAATTATATTCTTTTAGGGTTTAGCAAAACATTCTACATGAGTATATATCAAGTAACATGCAGGCTCAGATAACAGATGCAAATTACACAGAAGTGCTTATGTATTAAGATAAGGCTATTTGCACTATGATTAACACTGCTCACAATCTAAATAGAAACTGACCTCAATTTGTATAAATCATGTTTAATTAAAGACTACATAAAAATGTTCCCAGAACATAATGAAATGAAATGAAATGAAATATCTTTGTATTAAATTACATAATTTTCTAGTCACAAATCAAGTCATTATTTTTAGAAAAAATGTCCACATCTATTTTAAAATATTGAAATACAGCAGATACGTAGCAGATGATATTTGTATCTAAGAATAACTTTGACACAGTAGTCCTTATGTAAAATAAGAAATTCTGTATTTGGTCAAATGTGTAACTCATGTATAAAATAATGATTATCATTTTAAGATCTTAGTTTCTGTGACTACCTCTTAAGAATTTTTAATAGCCATATTTAAAGAATGAATTCAAAGGGAAGGCAATCAGTCACGTCTTGAAAATATAAAGCTTTGCTGTCCACCATGCGCTTTGACAAAGGCACAGGAACTACAGCTGCACATAAGTTTCCAGATGTTGTTGCAAGTCTAACCCTTATTTCTGAGTTATTATCCCATGTTGTTTTCTTTTGATGTGTGTGTGTGTGTGTGTGTGAAGAAGGAAGCAAAGGAGAGAAGAGGGGAAGAGATGAGAAGACACATAATTGAATTTCTTTGAAATGAAACAAGAAATTCCTGTAAACAATGTTCTCTATAAGGATTCCTAGCCCTTGCTTCTCTGTTGCACTAATGAATTCATTTTACTTGGCATAATTTAAGAGACTTTATCATTACGTTATACTTAACTTATTTTCTGCAGATTTGGAAAGGTTGGTAGTCTACCTTCTTTGACTATAATTTTTCTTCAAAAAAATGTCAACTCATGCACATTTTATAGATTTACTATTGGAAGTTTTCTTTAGTAATTAGCAAATTACACAGATACTCATTAAGATCAATTTGAACACTCATCCTATAGGGAGCTCTCCTTTTATACATCTGCAACCTAAAATGTACCTATTACTCCTGGTATTCTTTCTCCTGGATCTTTGTCAAAATCTATATTATACAATGTCTGTCCAAATCCCCCAAAATTGTCTTTGGAGTGGCAGACTGTCAAAGAAGTTTTGAAAATTAAAATTATATTTGGTAGTTCCTTACTTGTGTCTTCAAACAATAATGATTTGTCTAGGCAGAATTCTTGGCAAACACACACAAAAAAACATATTGTATCCCCCCAGAGAAGTATATTTAAATATTCAGTTATCCCATTCTTTATTATAGGTTCTACTAGCTGGTCTGAGATGAAAAACTCATTAATTCATTTCAAACAGGCTCACATTTGCATTCTGTAGATCAGGAATCATAGTAATTTCATTCTTGGGTCATCATTGTCCTAATTCATTTTTGAATTACCTTAGAACTCTTCAGGTAAATGCCAAGAACCCAGCAGTTGAGCTATATCTACTTTTCAGTTTGACCTGCAATGTTTTAAATACTGACCACCTATTAAATTATGACATCCAATCCTTCTGGGGACAGAGGTCATTTCAACTTCTTCCTTCAAGAATCTATTTGTTTTCACCTCATGTATGTACCAGGGCTCATGAGCATCAATGATTCCTGGGCTAAGCACCATGATTTTGGTACCGAAAGTCCATGTCTGTGCCTTTAATTTCCTTTTGAAAAGACGAAATTTCTTGATTTACCTATTCTTTTCCCTTGGGTTGTCTTTTCTCCTTCCATTATTGTTATTGATTGCTAATTAGCCAGCAAGAGATTATTTTCAATAGCCTATAATTTTCATCCTTAAAAACATCTTCCCTGACCTTCCAATTAGCATTAAATATTCTATAGACCTTCCATGAATGATTGCCTTTGAAATTTTGACCTTTCATAGTTTTCTTATCTAAAGCCTGTGGTTTTTAATTCTTCTTTTAAGTGTGAATGACTTTATAATGAATTTCCAGGAATTCTGTTCTCCCTTCAGATGTTAGATTTAACTGTGTCATAAACAGAATTACCTAGAGGATTTCCCAGTCATTTCTGGGATCTGTTCAGTATACTTTTAATTGTGTATGCTTGAACTCCCTTTTGATCTAGATTTTTGCTATATTACTAGTAATTCATTTTAAACTAGCTAATTAAAATCAACATTCTTCAATCAGAACATATCACACACAAACATTTTATAATGATTTGTTGATAACTTTTTTTTACTAAGAATAATAATTAACAAAATTTCTAAATCAAAGAGGCATTTGCATATTATTCTTCCCAACAAAGATCACATTCTCTGCCCATCTCTTTCCTGGACTGCTATCATTTATTTTGAGATCTCAACTTAGATGAAAATACCTTTGCCGCTTGTATAAAGGCAATATCCATCCAGACTCTCTTGAATGCTTCCAGTAAGGTTTTATTTGACTACAATAAGATTTTTGGCAAGTAAGATAAAATAGTTACTCCAAGGTACTCATGAAGCCCAAACCAGAGGAGAAGCAGGGTTAGGAAAGGTGTAATATAAAGGGTGTTAAGTTTCTATAACTCAAATAGTGTTAAGTGGAAAAATGTTCATGGATGAAAGCTACATGAAAAACATAAAGTAGAAGCCAAAAAGAACAGATGCCTTCTTTGATGAAAATTTTCATCAAATTTCAAACCCTCTCAAAGGATGCTGTCTCACTGGCATGTAGCATTATAATTTGTCTAACAATAAATATTTGTTGGTTGGCAAGAAAGAACTAGGAATATTTGAGATTCAGGGAACTATCAAATATATGTTACAACAGAGAATTCCTTGAT